GGGAAATAACGGAAAAATCCGTCGACAATTCAGTGTGTAAATAATGGCCTAACAATTTGTATGAAAAACATCAGTCAGCATTTGACTCAATGATAAATTGTATTTGCTGACATGGTCATTGTATCGACCATAGAACTTACGAAATGATGACTTTAATCGAGGCAGCTGATATTCTTGTTTCATCAACTTGTTTGTCAATAATTTACCTCGTTTTAGAAATTGTACATACGTAGAGCATGCTCTTGCGAATCGAATCAACTGAGATATATATACCCCGTATGCAGGTGATGAAGGTATATTGCTGCATAAGTAAGGGAAGTTGACGATTGAAAAGTTAAAGTCATCACGTTTATCATAAAGCTTGGTTGTTAGATTACCATTAACGTCTTTTTCAAGTAAAATATACAAATATGAAACAGATGTGTCAGACTCTGTGGTATCTTTTATCTCAAGTTCACAGGGATATATTGTATCGACATCAGAATGGAAATAGCCATTGTTAATTGACAATACGTCGTCGATATATCTAAATGTCGAGTTGAAGGCCACAGCAAGTGTTTTCTTCTTTTCACGTACAAGATTTTGGACAAATTCTGCTTCATATGAAAACAAAAAAAAAGTTTGCTAATAACGGGGCGCAATTGGTACCCATGGAAATTCCAATAGATTGTTGGAAGACCTGGTCTCCAAAAACTACATAGATATTGTCAATCAGAAACTCAAGCATCTTTTTATTGTCAACTTCAGAGTACTTGTGTGTACAATCAAAATGTTTTTAACAAAATAATTTTGCAAATGACCAATGACATGGTAAGTAAATTTACGAGTTCCATTTTTATTGAAAAAGCAGCTGTCAATGATATCAAAAAGCCTGGACTTTAATTCATCGTGGGGAATGGTTGTGTATAAAGTTGAAAAGTCGTTAGTTTTAAAGCTGTTGATTTTGGTAAAATCTTAAGATTTCAAATATTCCAAAAGTTCCTTAGAATTTTTAAGTATCCACATCTGATTTACACCACCTCTCGAATATATTGTTGCATAGTACTCTTGAAGTTTCTCCTTCACTACTGTTAACATCTTAGTGAGGAGTAAAGAAAGAGGCTTGGTTGAACATTTACTGGAACCCGCTATGTATCTTTATTTGTAAGGATTTTTATGACGTTTCGGAATCCAATATAAATATGGTAATTCAAATTCATTTTGGTTGTTTGGAATATTAAAAATATTCAAAAGTGACATATGATTTTGAAGAATTTCTTCCTTAGAAAGGGAACTATGAGTATAAGTTGGATTACCATTCGTAGAATTAAATCCAAGTTCCTCTAAAATACATTTATTTTAATGCAGTAAGTATTTTGATAGCCCAGTTACCCATAAAATTGCAGATTTCTTTCGATAATCCTCTCATCACTAGAACACGATATCTTATCCTCCTTCAATGAATAAAAAGTCTGTAAAATAGTTTGTCGTGTGTTGCCACCTTTGTGACGTTTAATAATTTGTTTGAAATTCTTAAAAGTATTATGAACAATAGGATATAATTTTAGCAGAAACAAAATATAAATATGAGAAATAAACCAATTTTGTAAAGGGAGATAATCCAAATTTCCAGTAATTACAACTTAGACTTAACAGAAAAATCATGAAAATGGGTCTGAAAACGCCACTGACTTTACTGCACTAGGGAAAGTTCAGACCCATGAAGAAAAATGGCAACACATCTCAAACATTAATCATACCAGAAGTGAGAAAATTTACCTAATCTGCACATTGCAATATGGAAATAAACATATGTCCAATAATGCAACAAAACTCCGTCTGTTCATGAGACATATAGGACGAGATAATGTATCAAACTATTACAATTCAATTATAATTAAAAATAAAATTTTCCCGTGTTCTATGAGGGATAAACATATGCCTCCATAATAACAAAATCAGAAGATTACTGTTATAAGTGGATGCATTTCATATGCCCTTCTTAGTATTAACAAATGACTTAGAGACTGATGTGCCTGATAAGGGATAAATATATGCCCCAATATTCACAAAGCATCACATTCCTTGCTGTCTTTTACCAAGTTCACACGTGTGTAGACTTTTAATCTATCAGCTTGAAGTATTAATAATAGACTTAAGCAAAAATGTGCCAGGTGAGGGATAGACATATGCCCCCATATTAAAAATACATCACTGTAAATTTCATCGCTGTCTTTTTTCAAAGTTTATATGTGTGCAGTCTTGTCACCTACTAGCCTAAGTATTAGCAAATAACTTAAGCACTATTGTTCTGGATGAGGGATAGTCGTATGCCCCCATAAGTTAATATTCATGAAAATCACTTTTGAAATCAAGATCCTCAATGAGTAACAAAAGATCTGCCCCAAGGCTCCATTTCCACTCAAGCATATATCAACATGGTGTCACATGTCTAATATAAGATTTAAATGCATCCAATTTCCATCTACCCAGGAATCTAATCTGACTATCACTCATCCCCCTTGATGCATTGTAAGATGCTATCCCAATTCGAAAGGAATGTCCTTTGAATCTATTGACATCTAAATTACAAAACATGAGACTTTGCTTTATTACATTTGAAAATTCTTGCCTTGTGACTGTAATGTTTGGGGGGTAGCAAAAAAGGGGCCCATCACCCCTCCCTCTCATTCTGTGTTCTAATTCCTCAACAGGACAGTATTTTAAACAACTGCAGGAATTGATTGTACGAGTAAAAACTTTACCGCCTGACTGTTTATAATTTTGAAAGTGAATCAAAACCTTACTTTTCTGAAAAGTAACTTGTGATTTATAAGACATGATTAGCAGTGCAAACTGATGTTATTTCTCCTATTCTGAGGAATCCATGGAAAGCCAATAAAAACATTGTTTGAAATAATACTTTTCCATATAAGTTTGATACTGTATGTTCTAATGCATCACAAATTTTATGTAGAACTACTATGGTTATTGGTAAACGAATATCCATTGAAGGTCTTGTTTTGCTACAAGAACTTAATAGTTTTTGAACAAGGAAGCATGACGTATTGTCAAGCAAGTTATTAATTCTATGTATATATGCTATTGATAAAATAAATGACACAAAAGAGGAGGCTGCATGACCTTCAGTAAATAAATAAGAGATAAACAAAGTCAAAGTATCCTGAGACAATGGAAGATCATTACTGATATTAAATTTGTTCGCAAAATTTCTAAAAATAGACCATGCTCGTTTATATGCCTGAGTTGAAGCTGTTGAAGTCAACAGGTTCCTCAAGACTGTTTCTAAGGAGGTAATGCTGGCAGCTGAGGAATCACCATTGGTTCTTTGTCCATCCAAGGAGCCAGTTGCCGGAACTGCTGCACCTTCAAATGAGACAAGCAGTCACATAGAATATTTTCTTTGGTACCAAGATGCCTAGCTTGAAACAAAATGTTAGACTGCAAACAAATAAGCACTGACTTTCTTACGAGATGCATTATACGTTTATCCTTAGACAATTGCTTGGTAATGATATGCACAAGGGCATAATTGTCTGTGTAGAAATAAATACACTTGTTTTTCAAAATATGACTCCACACCTTAAGAGCTAACACTATTGGATAAAATTCCAAGAGAGTAATATTATATTTTTACCAATTATCATTCCAAGACCCATAGAACCAGTGCCCACCTAACACTGCCCCATATCCATTAGATCCTGAAGCATCTGTATAGAATTCCAATTCATTAGAATCTACCCACCTATCTGGTAAGAAAACTGGCCTACCATTAAATTGTTCCAAGAAGGCTAGCCAAGTAAGCAAATCTGCTTTTACCTCTTTGTTTAGTCTAATGCGATAATATGCTCTTGTTATGCCAATAGTGGTTTTGATAAGTCGCCTTAGAAATGCTCATCCTGGCAATACAACATTACAAGCAAAATTAAGAAGACCAATTACTGATTGCATATCCTTCAAAGTAATCTCTTTGCTTGGTAAAAGCTCCTCAACTGTATCCCTACATTTTTCAACTTTCTCAATAGGTAGTCTTGCCTCCATCATCTCAGTGTCTAATTCATAACCCAGAAAAGTCATTACCTTGTCAGGACCGACTGTTTTATCCTTAGCCATAGGTATACCTATGTCAGCACAAACTGTTAAGAATGCCTCAAGATTTTTGTGGTATCCTGTAGCAGATTTGTCAACAATTAGAAAATCATCTAATACACGAGTCATAAATTTAATACCTAATTTTTCTTAAGCTATACACTGAGGGTGCCGTACTAAACCTTTCATATGTACGACAAGAAGAACTGCAACTCATCTGAAGACATACCCATATCCTCAGTGTTTAATATCTATTGCATTCAGTTTCGTTAAGTTTTGGGAATGAAAACTCCGCATGGAGAGATACTAAATGCAAGTTGATATTAAACACATATTATTTTATAGCAATCCATATTTAAATACATGTAGCATTAACATCATACCAGTAATTTTTTTTTTGAGGTGGGATGGTGGGAGAACCGTCCACCAAACACAATCATATTTAAATACATATATCAATGACCATCTGTCTCTTACATGTGCATTCACCTAAATTCTTCCACAGGTGTTGAACTAATACTGATTAATACGTCACTCTACTTCCGCTTTGATATTAACCAATGAGGATCTACCCATATCCTCAGTGTTTAATATCTATTGCATTCAGTTTCGTTAAGTTTTGGGAATGAAAACTCTGCAATATGATTACCCCATTTAACAAATTTCCCATTAAAGTAAGAAGTCCATTCAATATAACCATTTAACAACAAAATCTCCATTCCCAATACTCAAAATAAAAACAATACCAAATTTTATATCTCAATTTTATTATCATTACAACCATTACTAAATATAGTTATATATAATAACAATTTATTAACATTTCTTATAATCCCATAGTAATACATACATTATTTTGTTGAAAGTACAGTTCCCAGTATAAACCACAATACTCCAAAATGCATTAATTTATGCAATTTTTCTTTCTCACCTAACTTTTACAACCTCTTTTGCTCAATAGAATGCATTTTTTAAACCTGAATAGTCTGCCTTTTCTTTATACTCTCTCTCAACAACATCTGCCTGATACACAGATTCTGCCAACTTTGATGCAACCACTCCAGAATCAACAAGTGTTGACATTCTACAATAATACTCTGCGCTTGACTTTCCAAACCATCCCACATGATTCATAACTTGATCTACATTCTCTACTGACCCTGACAATGTCATTGTAATAGCACACCCTGATCGAAAACTATGAGGCGTTTCCCCTTCATAAATTCTTAATGTTGACAAATAATACCTCAACCTCTCATACACCACTGAATAACTGACATTCTTATCCAAAACTCTGCCACATTCTGCAACTGTTCTGAACGAGTATCCCTTGGATAAATCAACATTGTGTGACTTTGCAAACCTAACAAAATCTAATAAACCCTTCACTGGACAAACCACAGGATCAGTACATTTTTTAATAACAAATGAATTGCTTTTACTTTTATCACCTCTAAGAGTCTTTCCAAATGTATGTTTGAACACTAATCCTGACCCATCAGCTAGACACTTAACCTCCTGTGCAACAACCAAGAAAAGATCAGTAGCTCTATCACCAGTGAAAAACTGAAGTTTTAACCAAGTCTGATCCCTAAATAAAACATACCTTTCCCTAACGTGAAGATCATCACGTTTCAATTCCCTATCAATAAACAATGCTATTGCCCTAACCTTTGACAAAAATATTGGTTTTGCTTGCTTTGGAAGTACATGTGCTTTAGCCTGTTCTTCTCTGATTAATTTTAAATATTCCTTAACTAAAGGAGATGCAGCAGGATTCCCAGTCCCCGAAATAATATCCCAATATCTTCCAAAACCCTGCTCATCAAATATTTGAATCAGCTGCTGAATAATACAGTCTACTGTTCCTGAGGCTAAGCGCTTCGGGCAATTACATTCAACATTAGTTTTGGAACCTAAAAATGGGCAACTTAAATTATGTACAATTGTTTTCCGTTTAGAGTCTTTCCAAACCAGAAATCGTCTTACATCATTTGGTGTACATTTAGCAAGTGGTAAGGAAAAACTTTTTAAGAATTTACTAAAAACTTCCAATAGACTATTCTTCTTCTTAAACCCAGGTGATGACATAGTAATTTCATCCAACTGTAAAAGTCTCCTGTCAATTGCTTCCCAATCTATATGTACATCTGAAATTCTTTCCTACAATAAATATGGAAATAGAATGTCAGGTTCAAAACTACATAAATGACACTCGAAATGCGAGTAAGGGCCATCTTAAACCAACTGAATCTAAAACAAAACCCTTCCTACTAGGTATCCTAACACGTCCTTTTTCTCCCTTCAACCCCAAGCAAACCAATTGAGCATGAATGAAGTTTTGGCCACCATATAGAAAGAGGATTCATCATTGGAACAACAACAGTACAAGCAACACCCTGTTCTTCAAGGAAATTCAATACAGGAAGTATTAAATTAAAAGGTGGATACACATACAAATTCTCCTCCCCAGTAACACTCTGACAAAACACATTTACCCCAGATGATGAAGGAGTATGACATGGTGTAAAATGTTTCAGAGCTTTACTATCTATTGCTCTCATAACATTAGAATCCAAAGATATCAAGTCCACAGAATGAGGGCCAAAATATGATTCAACAACTGACCAAGACTTCTCACTTAACATAGTATCTGCCGAGTTCAAAGAACGTGAAGGTGCATCAGCAAGATTCATAACTGAAGGAACATAGGTTAAATGTAAATCAATGTTATGTTCAACCACAAACCCAAAAAGTTTCTTTATAATACAATTTAGTGCCCTTGATTTCCCTCCTTGGTTTTTCCAAGATCCTGTTCCTGCCATGTAATCAGACAAAACTTCAACCCTAGAATCTTGTAAAACCTCACTCAAAGATTGCAATGATTTAAGAACAGCATCAGCTTTCTTTTCATGAATTGATCTACAATCATCATTTTCCCAGTAATCTCCTAATACAGTAGAACCACTCTCTAATTTAACAGATGCTCCAAACCTAAAACCAGATGTATCAGTATATAACTCTATTCTTTTACGGAACTCAGATCTCCATTTTGAACAGCCAGACCAACTGTCCAAAAATCTCCAATACTCAAGTTCTTCTCTCAATGAATTCGAGACTTTTGCACTTTTACTATTTCGTTGAAAAGCAGAAATAGCAGCATTAAGTTCTCTACAAAAAAGTTTACAACCTGGAACTGCTAAACACATAGAAATGCATTTCCCACAAAATCTTTGCAAAGTTCTCAAATCAACTTCACTACCTGACAGAATTGATTCTCTCAACTGAATAAATTTTTGTTCCTTATCCTCTGGAAGTACATAAGCTTGCCTAACAGAGTCAACCAAGAAGCCAAGATATCTTTTACAAGTAGATGGATCTAACGAACATTTACTAAGAGACAATGTGTATCCTAACCTCGTCAATAATTCTACCATTACATACACTAGTTTCCGTGCCTCCATAATAACTAATTCATCATCATTTCTATCACTTCCCCTTGAAACAACAAACCGATCATCAATGTATAAAGTATTCTGAACTGAAAGCTTCCTTAAATATGCCGTAACACACATACCCACTGTCTGATAGATAAAAGGTGATGCCTTCCACCCAAAAGGAAGAGTATTATAAACCATCAAATAGCCACCAAACTGAATACCAAAATACGGACGAGATGATTCTGTCAATCTCACATGATCATAACCAGACTTTTCATCACAAGTTGCCATAAGTGAGTTTTTCTGTACAATTCTATGAATATCTTTCAAAGTATCTAACATAAAAGGTAAATCTTTTATCCAAAGATTTAGAAACCTTTCGTCATGGCATAACCTTGGCTTTGATGGCTCAATTGTCAGGGGCGTTATGACCTTTGGAGGTTGACAACAACCCACCTTACCTAACAATCTAATTGAACCAGATGCAATTCTCTCACACAACTCTCGTGCTATAAATTCGACAGGTTGTTTGCAGCTATTGGCATTTTGAAAATATTGTCTAGGTGGGATATCAGTATCAAAATGTTGACCTTTAAAATTTCCCTTAAAATGTTGAAAAAATTCATCAATATTTACACCATTTTTAAGCCATTGTAAAACATCAACATTTAACATTTAAGAGTCAATAGTGTCCTCCCAGAGAGGAAGACACTCATGCAGTTGATCAGATACAAAATACTTGGGATCACGTAATGGCAAACATTTTATATCAAATTGCACACCACCACCAAGAACATCTTCAGCCGAAGGGATGTGATTTGCAAGCAAAGGAACTCCCCCTTCAAGTGTTACCCATGCTGGCTGATCTCTAACTTGAAGATTTACCGGGTTAAATCCACTAGCCATTTCCCAGTCTGGAACTTTGATAAATGTACATTCATCTTGAAGACTTTCTGTACTTTTTTTCTGTAGAAAACAATTTAATAAATGAGAACAAGCCAGCAATAGTACACTTAAAGGAAGAATCCCTTTGCCTACAATTCACGTGGTAAACCTACTAGGGCATCAGTGTCCCTTGAACTGTAGACAAAGAAATTCAATTACATATCATTATAATAATCAAATATTAAGACAAAATTATTATGTTGAAAAACATTTTAATCAATCCTGTGGCATCAGTCTTAATCACTTTACTTCCCTTTTGCTGCTTTCATTTTCTCACAATCTTTAACCTGATGAGTAGTGCTCTCACAGAACAAACATGCTCCCCTGGCTCTGAAACCTTGACGGAATGTACTAGCCCTACCAGATCTATAACCTTGATTTACATAATAACCTCCAGATCCACCGAACTGATGAAAACCAGGAAAATATCCTGAAGGATACATCATACTTGGTGCCTGATATGGATACAAATTGTTTAAAGGGCTTACAGGTGTGTCATCTCTTCTATACCCACTTTCACCCTCTTTCTTCACATCTCTCTTTGACTCATTCTTAAACTCTGATTTTTCTTTCAAGCACTTTGCAACAGCTTTTGATATTGCATCTGCTACCTTACCTCCCAAAACAGACAAACACAAACTTGAAATATCTAATTTAGTCTGATACCGAGATGCCTGTCTTGACAACTCCTCATATATTTCTGCCTCCTCATGAGATGCCTTCCTTGCCATCTTTGCAAGATCCTCAAGGGTAAGAAGAATTAATGACATACTTGGATCCTCTTGTAAACAAAGGCACCTCACCTTGTCCTTTAACTCGTTTACTGCATCTTTTGAGGATTTCTCCAAGGATTTCAAACGATCCTTAAGTGATACGTCCCGTATCTCATTCTCTTCTCCGCTTCTTTTCCTTTTCAAATTCTCTTTGACTGGCTCTTGTGAACTAGTACCAGGGGACTACAATTAAATATAACATTAACCATCACCAACAACATTATTTTTTTTTAAACCCACATTCCATAATATAAGTTGTTAATTAAACATCAGTTCCTTACAGAGCTTACATCCTGTAGCTCCTGTCCTTTTGGTTGACCAACTTCATTGGCAAATATAATCAAAGAATGTAGAACCCATCTAGCCTCCCCTACATTGTGCTCTCTTCCAGTCATCTGCATTATTTCAGCTGATTCTTCACCAGTTAATTCTCTTACATACTTCTAAATAAAGAATATATTCCAAAATATATAATTTTCCAACAATTAACATATATGTAAACAAGATATTTCTTATGATATGCATAGAAAACAATAAAAATAATTAATACCATAACCCCGCACTGTATTATATATAAGGTTTCCCAAATTCAATCCCATATTTAATAATTATATAGTTCCATTCCAGATTTAAGAATTATTTATACATACATGTAGAATATCAACATTACAATACATACAAGTACATGTACATATCAAATAACTATCAATACCTCAATGTCAGCTAACTCTAAATTATCTGTCCTTATATCCTTGCCAATCCTAGCGAAGTCTTTTAATGCCTCTGGCTGTCCACCCCTTATTCTCTTTAGAACAGGAATTAACTTCACTCCTTTCAACGAGTGCCTCCTCTTTAGGACTGTCGGCAAAACCATTCTAAAACAAGAGAGATAATTCATATATACATATCTTTGCCATTCGCCCTCTCCATCACGTATTTGATTTATTCTTTGGAAATCCTTATTTATTAAATACGCTTAGAATATTACCAAAACATAACAAACAAATTGTGCTAAACAACAAATTCACGACTGACTCTAAAATTTGCACATGAATGAAAATCTCGTGCGTCTTAGCGACTACTCGAACACGTGACTATATAACACAGGTGAATTCTTGTCTATTCCCAATATACCCACCCATTCTCTTCTGAATTAATTTAAATAAAGCCTTATACACTATTCAATTCATTCATTATTAGACATACAAGTTTCCAGTCGAATTCCATAATTCGTTAACATATTCACTCAAACCCCGCGGTTGTTCATATAGCCCCTAGGCTTTTCCGACCACCAAGGTCTTTAATATACTGACCACCAAGGCCAAATTCATCGCCACCACGGCCAAATATTATCGCCACCAAGGCTTAATAAAATTTTACCTTTCTTTCTGGTGATCAACTTCAGCATATAGGCCTACTGGAGCCAAGCAGAAACGTCCGCCTTCCACAGGTGTTGAACTAATACTGATTTATACGTCACTCTACTTCCGCTTTGATATTAACCAATGAGGATCGGTAACAAAATACCATTGACCTTGCCGTGTGAAACCAAAGTATTTGAACTGCGATGCATGTAAACTGATAATTCAAAATGCATTAGAAATATCTGTTTTGCAACAATATGATCCTTTCCCACACTGTTGAATATTTTGAATAGCATCCTCTACAGAAGAGTATTAACAAATGACTCCTCTTCAGGTATGCCATCACTGACAGACTTACCTTCTGGATATGACAAATAATGTATAATACGGTACTCACCCTCTGTTTTCTTCTAACTAGACCTAAAGGGGAACAATGTAAAACTGGCATTGGCTTTTCTTTGAAAGGACCCATAATTCTACCCAAATGTATCTCCTTCTCTAACTTCCTGCTGATAATCTCTGGAAAGGCCTGTGCTGATTTTAATGCAATATATTGTCGCATACCTATTCCATGCAGTTACCCAGTCATGCAGGG